ATTCAGTGCCAAACTTTAATTGAGAGCCAAAATTAGTTTACCCTACTACCAAAGTCTCTGCATCTGATTTTGGCCAGGTAGCCAGTATGCATGTGGGGAGGCAAGAATGAACTTGTACTGCAATCTGACTATGTACCAGACACTCCAGGTATGTTATCTAATCTTCCAGATACCATGAAATAGGTATTATGATCCTTATTTTACAGACAAGGAAACTAAGGCAGCAAACAATTTTTTTTTTGACTTGACAAAAGGCTCTTCGTGAAAACAAGTACAGTATCCAGTCAACAGGATCAAGTAAACAGGGAAAACCAGCTAGAGTCAGTTCTTTTTTAAGAAAAGTAAATTTTAAACAACAATTTTAAACCAAATCTTTTCTAACTGAAAAGAATTTGAAAATTTTGCCTCCCACAAACATCTCTTAAGAAGTTACTGAAGTTTGTACTTCAGCTTTTCTAGCCATGGAAAGAAAGAGAAGTCCTCAGGTGGCAGCCCTGTTGCAGGTCTAGAGAGAAACCAGAATGGGACACAGAGATTAAGGAATCTGGACATAAAAGCTTAAGGAAAAGACACCTGACGACCAAGGGCATTGAGAGCCTAGAAAATCCTGAGGTCATAATAAAGGCAAATAACATATAAATGTATAAAAAGGCAATTAGAAATACTAAGAAAAAAAAATTTTTTTTTTTAGAAAAAAAAATTTAAAAGTCAAGGTCCAAATATGAAGAAACTAAAAGGTGACACAAGTTTAAACAACCGATGAAGAGCGAAAAGAAAGAATCCATTTGACTTCGTTGCTGGATATATCCTCCTGGGTGTCCCAGGAGTCCTGACACCAGACCCAGTGTGCGAGTCTAAGACCCAATCTAATACACAAGGCAGTAAATTATAGCAAATGTTGCCTCCGGTTTTTCCACTTCAAGAAGAATTCACGAATAGTCAACCGGGGGCCAAAGCACAAAACCTGTATCAATCGCGGATTCGGAGCTTTGGAATGTTCAGGTGTCACCGACAAAAAGCAAAATGTGCAACTGCCGGCCATCCAAACCTCCTGGACTTACAAAACGGGGAGTCAAGAAATACTGTCAAAGGTTTCCAGAAAATAACAGAGGTGACCTAACAAAGTTGAGATAATGTAAATATCCAACTTGGGAGAGGAAAAAAGGAACATTTAAAGGAGCTACATTTCTCACTTTCTGATTAGGAGTTAAATATTGATAACAACAGTGGTAAAAGCATATTACTTAAAGGGTTAAGAAGGTAACAACCTAAGAATTAAAGACAGAAACAGTTATTAAAAAAATTTAAAAGTTGCCTCCGTGAGCCTTGAGAAAGTAAAGGAAACCAAGTCCTTCTGTACTATTGGGTTTGTTACCAACTGCACAGATCACTTTGACAAAAATAAATTTCTACCACACATTACAGAAAAGGCTAAACACTAAAATTATTACTAAAAACTGGGAGTGGCAGCAAATGTTACAGTTGGAATTATATTTAAGAGTAGGGATATATCCTCTTATAGAATATGTTATTCAAATACAATTTTTCTGTAAGAATGGAAAGTTCTCCTGAAGCCAGATCATTTTCTTCTTTATAATTCTCTATTTTCTGGTCTAGATACACCAAACATGTACTCCATTTATAACCAGACTTTTTTTTTAAATTTTTAATGTGATCAGTGTTCAAACCCTGTTGCGGACAGCCCAACACCCACACACCCCAACCTGATTTATGAGCTACAGAGAACAGTAGGGACAATGCAGTCATCTTCAGAGGCCATGCATTGCAACATGGCCCGCATCCTCCCCGCCATTTAACATCACAGGGAAGGTCTGAACACTGAGAAAAGGGTCCTTTAACAAGTGTCAGAAAGTGACTACACTGCATACATAAGAACAATCTTACCTGAGAAAATGACAAAAACTGTTCAAAGCTTCTTAGATGTCCAGGTTTGACCTCCCACATAGCTCATTGTTCAACTGGGGAAGTGACATGGGGATGAAGTGGGGCATGGAAAAGGGAAAATTGCTCCCGAAGTAAAGGCAACAGATGAGAGGGCCAGTCCACCAATAAATAATCACTTGACTTTCCCAAAGTCATGTTGATACCCTTCCCTGGCCTCAATTTTCCAACCTTCCCCTAAAAATTTTGATTTCTGGATTTATAAAACCATCTACTCCTGACAGAATCAAGAATACGATTCTACTGCAAGCCCCATTTCACAGATGATGGCGCAAAGTCATGTGTAGATTTTATGAAAATTAATCCAGGGTCGGCTGCCATCACTTTCCAAGCTTCTACTTAAATCCACCAAGATACACTGCTTGATGAAAAAACTATAGGACATGTAACATTCCGACTTTAACAAAGCTCCGAAAGAAATTCGGAGAACTCTTGGAAGAGTCCTTTACCTCAAAAGACGACGATCACAGTGACTTCATTTCTTAAATTCCCTCAGCTACCTGACCAACAATTTTCAAGCACTGTTATCAGCTCAAGCCTACCGGCCTGTTACCTACATGTTCTTCCAGTTGTTGTCATCACTGACTGTCCAAAGGAGATTCACCCGGCTTTGGACTGAGGACTGGCTTCTTGTTATTGTTGTCGTTTACTTGCTAAGTTGTGCCCAACTCTTTTGCGACCCTATGGGCCGTCCATGGGATTTCCCAGGCAAGAATACTGGAGTGGGTTGCCATTTCCTCCTCCAGGAGGTCTTTCCCACCCAGGAATTAAACCCTTGGTTCCTGCCTCATCTCCTGGATTGCAGGCAGGTTCTTCATCACTGAGCCACCCAGGAAGCCAAGGAGTGGCTTTAGCTGGGGGAATAAAGCAGATGTAGCAGAGCAATTTTTTCTCAACCCAAGGCTAACTTCCACTTGTCACAAACATATTTTTGAGCTACTCCAATCATTCAAAATGTGTATAAAAGAGAATTCTTTTGTTTTGCTTTTGTTTAGGGATCTTTTCCCCTAGCTTTCCTCAGACATTAGGCAAGACTAGCTCTTATTTCATATTTTTAGCAACCAGTTATACCGATTGCGTATCATATATATTTGTGTGTGTATATATAACCATAGTTCAAAAATCATTTGGGACCAAAAATATCTTCCAAAATTATTTTAAAATATTGGGTCTTTTTCTATTTGTATGTACTACTAAGTCCATTTCTACAAAAGTCACAATAACACATTCAAAACTGCATTTACCTAAGTAAGCAACACAACATGCTACTTCAGACCTTTATATAGTATATAAGGGCTGGAGCTAATGGTAAAGAACTTGCCTGCCAATTCAGGAGACACAAGAAATGCCGTTTCAATCCCTGGGTCAAGAAGATACCCTCAAGGAGGGCATGGCAGCCCACGCCTGTGTTCTTGCCTGGAGACTCCCATGCACAGAGGAGCCTGGCAGGCTGCAGTCCATAGGGTGGCAAAGAGTAGGAAATGACTTTGCACACATAGTATATGAACTAATGCCATCCTTCAGAACAATATCATCACACTTAGAAAAATGTCATGCTATTATATCACATACTTGAATTCCACCAACTACTTAGATCAAAGCACTCAGTATGTGTCCACACCATCACTCAGTAACCAGAAGACCAGTTGTGGACTAAAATGATCATCAAGTCTGTTTAGAACAAGGGCTTCTCAGCGCTACATCAAGCGCTTCTCAGCAAAGAGCTCCTTGCACAAGATGTCAACAGTTTTGGGATGGAGAAGAAATAATTGCCTACCAGTATGAGTCAAATGGTTGGCTATTTTAAGCCTCCATCATCACTGTGTATTTGTTATCAGGTCCTCTCATAGCAATCAGAGTATCAAATATTATCTTATTAAAATTGCACATAACTTCTAAACTAAGGCTACTCTATTTTATATCTATAGATATATAGATATACAGATATCTATATCTATATATATAGGCTTTAAAATAAAGTCTAAGGCAAGTTCTCAGAAGAGGAGTTTTCCTCCACGGCAGTCAACAGCCAGCCAGGGCAGGCAATCCTGAACCAAGTGCTCCAGTTGGCAGGACTTCTATCCAGGCCATTGACGGCCTGACCCCCCATGACCTCACCGGTTATGTTTCAAGTTCCAGCTTGGCTTCTCCTCCAGAATATAATTATTCTAGGGTACCACAATTGAAGCAACCTTCTTTATGCATGTGAATACATTTTTCTACACAGTCTAATTCCAGTCGAAGGTAAAATTCACTACATCGAAAAGCCAGCACAACCTGTAGGGAAATAGCGACAAAGCAGCTCCTCATCGATGATATTCTAGATTACCAAGTGCAACACAATAAAACTCCTGACCCAGTTTCCACACAATTGATTTGTCCAGCCCACAACTACTTCACCACGCAGTTCCTAATTACATCACTGGGGGGTGCTGTATGGTCATTACGTCATTGAACTGGGACCCGTAAGGCCTAAATCAGCGTTCCCTGGTCCAGATTGCTTTTTCCAAGAATGGAGAGACAGCAGACCACCTACAGTCACAAAAGTTCCTCTCTCCTCCCACAAGCCTCAGATCCGTTCTAGAACTATCTTGATGTCACATCGCAGAGCACCAGGCTAGGGGTTACCTGACTTGGAGTGGGCCGGAAAGGGAGTTAGGAGTTTGGGTCCAGGAGGCAAAGTACTCCAGTATCAGTACTCCAGACTCCACGCATAGTCATCTCTGGGTTTCACGAGGATTCTGCCCAAGTACTTGCTTCTTCCACCTCGAAGAATTTTCATGTCCTGAAAATCTCGCAACTTCCCGGATCCTGGAAGGACTGCGCCAGGCCCAGCTGCTGACCCCTTACAATTCCAGCACCCTGACACTAAGTCCCACTTCCAGCCGCCCAGATCTCTGGGGAGAAGCCGTGCACGGACACACATTGTCACGCACGCACACACACGCCCGCACGCACGCACGGTCACCAACACGCACAGAAGAAGCGCGCGCCGGGGTACCGTGACTCTGTGTCCCCCCGGCTCCAGGCTGACTTACTTGAGGAAGTACCTCTGACCAGTGGCCGTAAAGGTCATCTCCCAGCCCGGGGGCAGCGGCAGCTCGTCGGTCACGTCGTAGGACTGCTGGCGGAGGTGCGCGTGCTGCTGCGCGGGGCTGACCGCGGCGCCCGCGCCGGTGCCCAGCTGCAGCGACGCGGGCGACGAGTGCGAGCGGACGTGCTGGGCGCCGCCGGCCAGCCGGGGCCCCGGGTGGCCGCCGGACGAGTCGGTGCTCGACTGGCGCGAATGCGAGCCGGAGTCGGGCTCCTTGAAGAACGACTCGGGCAGGATCTTCTTCCGCCACGAGCTGGGCTTGGGGTTCATCACCGAGTTGAAGAGGGCTTCGAGGTCCGTGTCTAGGTCTTGAGTGACGTGGATCACTTGCTGCCCGGGTGGCGGGAGCGGAGGGGGCGCCGAAGCCGGATTCATCTTCTGCTAGGAGAAAGGAGGTCAGATCAGCCTCTTGCTGAAGGTCGGAGAATTGAAGGGAGAAGAGCGAGAAGAGACAAGAGAGGTGCTCGCCTCGGGATCCCAGACACCCAGCACTTAAGCCCAGCGGGATGGGGGAGGGGTCCCTCCCGGCCTCCAGAATTATGCAACTTTCTTGAAGCCAAGAAGTTACCAGCAAATGGGGGAGGGGGTGGCTGCCGGGCGTTAACTGCACTGGAGACGCTAATGAAACTGCTGGTGTCTCAGCACAGGTCGAAACTTTCCAGGGCAGGCAGCGACCCCCAAGTCCCAACCCGAGCCAACTCCAAGACGTCTCCACTCGGGAAGCCCGAGGAGCCGGGCGCCCTGGCGTGGCGCGGGGTGAGCGGGCGCGCGCCAGCGGGCACTACCTGGGCGCGCAGCGAAGCCGAGTCTGGGCGCGCGGTGGCCGCCGTGCCGCCCGAACTCGCCGTTGGGCCTGGGCCGCTGGGCTGCGTCCCGAGCTTGCAGCGCTGGAGCTATTAGGGCCCGGCTGGCAAATCCCGACCCTACTCGGTGTCGGGCAGCCGAGAGGCTTCGGCTCTCACATCCCCCGAACTGGCCTCAGGCGCTCGCGCTCCGCGGAGAGGCGGAGAAGCAGACAGCGCGGCCGCCGCGGATCCCGGACTGTCCCATAAACAAAGTTTGGAGCAAACTCCCACTCCCAGGAAAGAGGCGGGCCCGAAAGTTGAGCTGTTGAATTATGCATGGCCTCCAAGTCCCGAGCCTGCCTACCCCCTCTCGCCCCTCCCCCTCCTCCTCCTCCTCCTTCCACCCCGGCACCAGAAAACCCTGGGCGTGCTGGGCACTCTGCAGGGTAGGAGGAGATGGGTGCCCCCCACCCGCTCCTCCTGGTCGTGCTGACCTCTCCCGCGGAACCCTGGGTCTGCATTCCTTTGAGTTTACCACGGACTTGGGGCGGGATCAAAGGGAAAGTGGCCCGAGCCTGTTGAATCAAGGACTTGTGGACCGAAACCAGGCTGGGGGCGGCGGAAGGCACGCGAGTGAGGGGCCCAGACCGAGGAAGGGCGGGCCCTGGGTGCCGCGCCTTCTCTTCGTGCCGGGTACCGAGGCCGGGAGCCCGGAGCGCGGGAGCCTAAGGGCGGGCCCGGGTACGCTCCGGCGCGGGGAGACACCAGCGAGGCCAGCCTTTCCACGGGAGGCTGCATGTGACCATATTTGGTCTGGCGAGGAGGCATCTCGGCTGTTTGGCTTTCAATTGTCTGCTCGTGCGCAGACGGTGCCCAGAAAGTGCTTCTGTCGCTAGGGATGCGACTTCGCCAACTAGTTCACTGTAAACAAACAACCTTGAAACCATGTATCAGTTCTTTTTTCCTCTCCAGGGTGACTTGGGTCACCAGGGATTGAGACGAAACCCGGGCAAGTCTTCAGTGCTGGAAAGGAACAGCAAGGCGCCCCCCTCTCCCGCGACATCCTCGCGGGTCGTGGGAGGATTGGAATGTCCCTGACGCCCTCCGGAGAGCCTGGAGCCGGGATGGAACCGGAACAGGTGGCTGGGAGGAGAGAGGGTGCGCCAGTGACCCGGAAAAAACCACCCACCCTCCCACCGACTGGATCTGGGCGTGGGACGGAGACCCCCTGCTTCTAGATCTGGCCTGGCAAGACAGCTGCGGGAAGTAGGAGGCGGCGTAGCCCTCAGAAGCAGCTCAATTCCTTCTTTCCCTTGTCCCTTCCCGTCTGGGGGAAGGGGAGAGTGACTGCCAGGTAAATGCGGCTTCAGAAAACCCCCTACCCCATCCCACCCCACTGGATTCAAACATAAGCTTATTCCCGAAATAACTCACATGAGACAATATATGTAAAGCACTTTGTAGACATACTTGCCTGCATACCTTTTTGTTAAATAAAAGTGCAAGTATTGTGCCCCCACATTTTTATAAGAGTGGAAAAAAGTCGAAATTAAAATCTGGAGTTGCTGTGAAGGAGAAAAGTGTATGGGAAAGACAAGGCTATCCTGTAGTTTTGCCATAGAAAGGGTAAGAGTATTCGGAGCACATTCCCTAAATGGCTGCTCCCTGTCATTGCCCAAAATAGAGCAGAGGCCACCTATGTGAGCCCCCTTCTTCATTATCTATATCTGAGGCCACCTATGTGAGCCCCCTTCTTCATTATCTATATCTGAGGGAGTGCTCCTCACAGACGGGAAAATCGAGGCTGCCTGAGAGATCACTATCAGAGGTAAGCAGAGCCATGGCTCCTCCAGGAGGCTCTGAAACTGTTTTCCATCCGCAAGTCCTCTGCCCACAGCACCAGCAGAGGGAAGGGGAAGCTGCTGCGGGTCACTCCATGGGAAGTAGCATCTTTGCAAGCTATTGTCCAAAGCCATCACAGTTACAACAATAGGGAAATTAGCTTTGGAACTACAGGAAGTGAATGGGACCAAAGGGTTACTGATTGAGAAGCCTCTTGACAATGAAAGGATGGAACTTTGAGGCTAGCCCTATTGCAGGAAGGTCCTCACCCAGGAAGGAAGGTCTTGCTTTGTAAGAAATACCTGGTTGCTAGAAAAGAGGAAATTACTGAGGGACGCGTGAGGTTAATCAGCCAGGGAGAATCAAGGTTGAGGTTGGGTGGGCAAGGATGCTGTCACTCCTCGCCAAACTTCAAGCCCTAGATAATGGAGGACAAAGCAGACGCCTGAAATGGAAAAGGCTCTGATCATGTGAGAGCTCAAAGGGAAAACTCCCAGCTCCCAGTCTATAAGATATGATAGTGGATGGCTTCAGTGCTTCAAACAATAGTTCAGATTAAATAACATTTACAGTCACCTTATATGTATCAGGTAGTGTCCTGTAAGAGACAGCAGGCAAGTGTATAATGAATCTCCAGAGAAAAATACCTGAGGCAAAATAGTTCAACTCTCTATTCCTGAGTTTTCCTCACTCTAAATTAGGAACAATAACAGTACCCACCTCACAAGATTTTAGATTAGAACAAATTTTAGTTGGCCCTTTTGTATCCCTTCGATTCCACATCTGTGGTGGATTAAAAAAAAAAAAATCCAGAGTTCCAAAAAGCAAAACTTGAATTTACACCACACTGACAACTATTTACATAGCACTTAACTGTATTAGATATTATAAGAAATGTGGAGATGATTTAAAGTATGTCAGAAGATATGTGTAGGTTATATTTAAATACCGCGCCATTTTTGTATAAAGGACTTGAGCATCCTTGGACTTGGGTTTCAGGGGGTGTTCTTTCTGGAACCAACACCCCCACACACACTGATACTGAGGGATAAGTGTGTACAAATTTTATCTGTTCTCCGGTGCTTATCTCTATTCTCTCTGTGGGGCAGGTAATCTAACCTCTCTAAGTCACAGATTACTCATTTACAAACTGGAGATACTATTGTTGCAGTCTGCGGCACCGCTGCCCTTCAGCGGACCACCCTTCTGCAGGTCACGCCCTAACGGAGTCCCTCCCACTTAAACCTGGACTGGGCCAGTGACTCACCTTCACCTGGAAATGCAGCCCGGCAGCTGGGCTACTTCCCTCTTTGAACCCCTAAGGAGGTGTGAAAGTTTCTGCTTTTGTACTTTGGGGAGACCTGCACCCACGGGAAAGAAATGCAGCTGTTTTGCTGGAGAAACCAGGTGGAGAGGAAGAGACCCCGAGAGAGGGAGGAGAGAGAAGTCCAGCCATCCATCACCCAGCCACCCACCAGGGACTGCAAACAAGTCAGAGGCCAGCATCAAGACCCACAGGACCCCAGAGCCCCGACCAGCCCCGACTGCAGAAGGATGAGCAGAAAAAATGAATATTGTTTTAAGCTACTGAAGTTTGGAATTTTTTTTTTTAATGAAGAATGGGCATTCTAAAGATTAAGTAAGAAATGAAGTTCTTAAATTCTGTTACCTGCTGAAGTATTTAATAAATAATGGCTGTGATTTATGGGCTAAGACCCATAAAATAGATAATAGACAGATGTTTTACAGATAAGGAGACTGGCCCAGGGAATTTTAAATACAGGAATATCTCACTTTATAGCACTTCACAGATAGCGCGTTGTTTTGTTTTCTTTTTTACAAGTTGAAGGTTTGTGGCAACCTTGCATCATGCAACACTATCAGTTCCATTTTTGCAACAGCATTCACTCAGATCATGTCTCGGTCACAGTTCGGTAATTCTCATAGTATTCCAGACTTTTTCCTTATTACTATATTGTGTGTGTGTTAGTTGCTTAGTCATGTCCGACTCTTTGTAACCCCATAGGCTGTAGCCCACCAGGCCCCTCCATCCATGGGATTCTCCAGGCAAGAACAATGGAGTGGGTTGCCATTTCCTTCTCCAAATGGAACTATAGAAAGAAAGAAAGTGACATCGCTCAGTCGTGTCCAACTCTTTGCGACCCCATGGACTGTAGCCTACCAGGCTCCTCCATCCATGGAATTTTCCAGGCAAGAATACTAGAGTGGGTTGCCGTTTCCTTCTCCAATTACTGTATTAGTGAATGGTTATCTATCATTAGGGATCTTTGATGGTACTATTACAAAATGTTTACGACTCACTAAAGGCTCAGATGATGGTTAGCACTTTTCAGTGATAAAGTATCTTTTAATTAAGGTATGTGCATCGTCTTTTTTTAAGAATAATGCTATTGCACCTTAGACTACAGTAAAATGTAAAACACAAATTTTACTTAAAACACGTGTGCACATGTGCCCAGTCACTTCCGTCGTGTCCGACTCTGTGTGACCCCATGGACTGTAGCCCTCCAGGCTCCTCTGTCCATGGGATTCTCTAGGCAAGAATATTGGAGTGGGTTGCCATGCCTTCCTCCAAGGGATCTTCCCTACCCAGGGATTGATCCCGTGTCTCTTGCATCTCTTGCATTGGTAGGCGGGTTCTTTACCACTAGCACCACCTGGGAAGCCCCTTTTTACATGCATGGGGAAACCAAAAGAATTTAAGCAACTCACTTTATTGAGTTAATCACTTTATTCCAGTGGTCTGGAACCAAGCAGGCAATATCTCCAAGGGATGCCTGTATTTTGTCCAAGTACGTGAAATGAATGGGGGGAAAGAAAATTTAAAAAAAAAAAACGGGACTTAGCCTAGGGTTTGTAATCCTAGGTCAGAGCACTCTTTCCTACTCTGCTCTCCTGTGAGCCAGAAGTTTTGTCATTTTAAATTCCTGTGATACCTACTGCCCACCTATCCCACAGAGAAACTCCACCGTTTTCATAAGATAATCAATTGAGACTAGGCTCCTGCAGATATGTAGATCTTTCCGCTTGCAAATACTTTCCACTGATCTCCTGAAGATGATCTCCTGTCTCCAAATCCTCCCTTCACTCTTTCTCCTGAAATCTACCCTGAGTCACCCTTCTCTGCTCCATCTCCATCCACATCTAGTCATGGCAAGGGCTGTCAATTCTTCCTTCCATTACTCCTGAAGCCCATCTTACCGTTCCCACTCCCACAACAGGACCTTATCTCCCAAGGTGTTCAGGGGCCTGCCTCCTCATTGGTTTCTCTGCCT